TCTTGAAGCTCAGCTCACATGGTGTCATGTTTGCGAGAACATTGTTCGTGGTCCTGTTAATCAGGTACACCGCTCCATTCACCGCCTCGGCCCACCGCAACGAGCTCACACCCTTATAGTTCAGCATGCTCCGAGCCTTATCCATGATCGTCCGATTAATTCGCTCGGCCACGCCGTTCTGTTGCGGGCTGTACGGCACAGTTTTCTGGGGAAAATGTGGCTTGAAGAACCTAATGATCCAAGGCGATGAGAGCTTTTTCACAGATACGAAGGCTTAGAATAAGACACAAGTGTGGAAGCGTTCCAGCCTCTTCCTCAACCGCAACAGATACTGATCAGGAGTCAACGTTAAAGTCTGTCCTAACGCTGGGCCATCGTCTGCTCATCGCTCATCATCATGGCTTGCAATTAAGATATCTCACCTTAGATCAATACAGTGATGCATGTGAGCAAAGGAAGCATAGACGATGCAAAATGATGCGTGCCAGGATCATCGTTGACCAATGGACTTGAGCTTCGTTAAGCAAATGGAGGAATGAATACATCGAAGTGTGAGATCGACGCTTTTACGATAATCTGAACTTTTTAACGAAACACATGTACTTCGAGTTATCATATCTGTACTCAGATCGTGATGATGCAAAGCCTACACATTCCTTATATAGTATCTGTTGTGCGCTAGTTTTACCAAGAACTTACTATTATGCTCTCTAGCTTTTCAATTAAATTAAAATAAATTTAGACATTGATGCGAAAGCCGATAGCAGCTGAAGCTTTATATGCTGGAGAGTCTGTCGGCCGAAGCAATTTTTGATGTTCAAACGAAAACTGAAGACATAGATGGTGTATGTTGTTGTAAATGAGGACGGACACAAACTCTATCGGTGGGAAGATCAGCCGAATACCCGCGATTTGTTTTGCAATGTTAATTGGTACCAGGCTTAGCAATTGACATTACTAAAATCAAGCTATTCGTGCGATACTTGTCCTTGCTGAATTATGCATCGGCATCATTGCGGAACTCGTACTTATAAAATAGCTTAAGAGGTGTCATGAGAGCACAAAATATATATGCCGACTTTAATGACAGCTTGATCGATACTTAGACTGGAATACGCTGCTTTTGGAACAAACGTATTCATTCGACTGAGACGTATTTTGTAGTGGTATAATCACCATCTGGCTTTTTTGTACGTAATTAAGCTAACAGCGCAATACTTGATCGAAATTGGATGTAGTTATATTGGCAATAGATTATGAATCAGGATTCGTTATGGTATTCGTTCATTCGTCTAGATAAATGAGAAAATTTTCAGTAGGCTTGAGGTAGCACGAAGTAGCGATCTTAATATCTTATAAAACATATTAACATCGTTTTTTGCCATCTTCGCAGCCGATTAAAACTAAACTTTGCTTCATGACACTTGACCGTCAAGCTCATCGAGTTTCTATTGGGGGATGAGAGTTACTACCATTGAAAGTCCGACGTAAAGATGGCCTTTGCAAGAAAAAGGCTGTAACTGGAGCACAAAGCGAAATACACTTCCATGAGTTTAAGATGGATATTGGTATCTGCATGGCGGTACATCTGGACGCGTTCGACATACTGGTCGTGGGACTTTAAACGACGTATGAGCCAGTAGAGGGGTCAATCCAGCCGGCGATACTGCTGAGCAGTCTGCCGTCGAATAGGGCTGATTTCTTCTACTGCGGAAAATGCCAAGGCAATCACACCAGTTGGTATCAAGGAGAAACTGAGGAAAAATTTGGTGACGTACAGTAATAGATAGTCACTTAAAAGCGTTTTGATAGGCGGTGGACCCCATCCATGCTGTAAAGAAGAAAGTGACCACTTAGCTATCGAAAAGCAACACGGTATACATCACTATCACATCTGCTCAATTTCTGGTTGAAAGTTACGCAAGGTTAGGTTCTTACGCAGTGCCACCCGACAAATATTTCGTGGAGATATCGAGCTCCAGAAGGCGCAGAGTGGCCTACTAGAAAACTTATTTTTTGTACAGGACGCCCGTAAAGCGTCCACCTTTGGTATCCGCCCCGACCCTCGCTTCGCGGTAGTTGCGCTTTGCATTTAACGCAACATCCATTGCTTCTTTTAAAGCGGTCGGATCAACGCGGAAGGTCTCAATGTAAGCCAAATGTGTCCGAGTACCCTTCAGAATTCCGGTAGCTGTCACCGCCTTCGGTTGGGATTCTGCCGCTATCACGAGATCAGATTCCACAGCTCTTGAGCATGGTCCACTAATTTTTGCCTCCCCTGACCAGTGCACACACGATACGCCTGCGTTAGAGGTGCGAACACACACGACATCCGACACTTCAATACTTCCCATATTTGGAATGCATGTACACGTACACCGCGCATAAGTGCCGCCTAGCGTGGATATCGCTAGCGCGATGAGCTCATGCTTCGTCGTGAATAATTCATGGCCATCTCGATTTCCCTGGTCCAGAGGGAGAATACTTTTCATCTCTACCGTAAAAGGGCCATAAGATTGACAACATCAACCGTTCTGTTGAAGCTGTTTGTGCCTTTTGGCCTTTAAAAATTTTTTATGCCAATATATGAGCTCTCAAGGTGTATACATTTGCCCACATAAATAACGCAATTTTGCAGATTTTAAGTTACCTTGAAACACAGATTTTGCAAATTTAAAAGTATGTTATTAATTTATAGTATTTTTCACTGTCGTACGACTTAGCATACTACATTTCTTGAGGCTTTTACTTGAAACGGAAGCAATAGCTGCGGTGACTTAGCAGCGCTCGTTTGTTTTGGCCTCCACTCTATGATTGCTGTTCGCATTGGTCACAGCGATGTTGCTAGCGGTTGTGGCATGAGTGTTCTTTCGGTACGAATGGGGAGGGCTTTTGTTTTCATGCACCGACGGCAGTCAAATTATTGTCATATTTAGACAAAGGTACTGCACTTTACAACGGATATCTATCGTCACTACGCGGCATGGGCGGTTGAGACGGAGCAAGCTTTTCCTTACCCTTTGGCTTGGAAGCCAAAAATGCTGAATTTGCCTTATTTGTAACCTCAGTAGTGGCAGTTTTTTTCAATTTACCACCGGGAACATTCTTGAAACCTTCTTTCGGGTGAGGTCTCGACAATTCGATATTCGAACCGCTCAACCGATGAGATCTAACAGACGTTGACTTGACGAATCACGAGAGTTACTTCTTTTGGATCGTTTCACTGATGACAGCAATAGAGCATAAACGCCATCAGATTTTTACCTCGACGTGGCGTCTTATAAATGATTAAAAGTTTCTTTTATCCGCTTAAGTACGCCAGAAATTCTCCCTGTTCAAAA